CGTTATTAACTTGTGTGTTAATGTTTGTAATTAAAATGTAAAACTTAAGTACATTGTAACTATAATTAAATCTATTATGGCAAAGTATCTCTTGAGTCTCAATGTCATAGCTAATATAAAAATAGCTATTGGCAATACACACTAATAAATGCATTTTTAATATTAATCTTGGTTTTGAAGATCAGTTACTTTTTATACAAACTGTAACTAATGCCTAAATATCTGATATACTACCTTAGATACAAAGAGATAACATTTCTTGTTGTCAAATACTTTTTAAGTATTTGAAAATCAAAATAACTTTCTTTAATAAATTAGCATGCAATGTTGAATAATATTCCTGGTACACAATATATTAAATATTTCTAAAAACATATAGTTCTTAAATGTATTGTTATAAATTGTTATATAAAAAAAACAATTTATAATTTTTTCTATACCGTGAAAGCCTCAAATGTGTCATATAACAATTTATAAGTCTGATCAACAATTTTAATATCTTGTAAATAGGGCCACACATTATGGCATGATAATTAAATTAAAAATCTTATCAGCGGCGTAAAATGTACGTAGAACAGTAACACCAATTAATGTTGCAATAAATGCGTAAAAACATGAAGAAATCAGTTGACATACTTATTATAAAACTATATAAACATAGGAATATTTCCATATGTGTACGATTCTTTGATATATTTCTTACTCAAGAGAGCATTGTGGCAGATATACTGTGTTTTTTGTTTACACCCACACACCATGCGGATTTTTGCTTGTGGGTACTGCAGTCTCCAACTGTCTCGGTGATCCTATCATCTTACGGGTACTTCCAGGTTTATGGGCTCCTAACAATTAAATAATTATTTTTATTAAATAATTATACATATAAACTTCATAACTAATGAAATATATATATAAAAATAAATACCCTCTAATAAAGATTTGACTTGCTCATCTGAACATGCAACGGCTAAACTTTGCAAATTTGCTTCCTTCATGTCAGCAACCAATCTCTCAACTTGTAGTTTCTTCTCAACAATAGCTGATTCCAAATTGACTACTTCTAATTTTAAAGATTCCGCACACTGTGAAGCTAACTCGGTTGCACGTTTAGCCTGTTCCACTTCATTTTGCAAATGTTCCACTTCACTAATTATTTTCCGTTCCATGATTTGCCGCTCATCTGTCTCACGATTTATATTATGTTGCTCCATCGCAAGCTCTTCCATAACTAATCTGTAAATATAATTATTATTGTAGTTAGTTTTTATATTCTCTGTGTAAAGTTAAACCCTGTGTCTCACAATATTGTAAAGGTTTTCGAGTACTTAGAATGCATTGTGATAATCTGTTTTCACCTGATCTTATTTTTACATTGAAGCAGTTCCGTCTCACAATTGGCCAACTTTGATCTGAGCAATGTTATTTCCGACTTTAGTGTTTTTTCTTGCTGTCTTACTATTTCACTCTCTTCTTCTACATGAGCTAATTCTTTAAGCTAATTATAACAAAGGATTAAAATAAATTATAAGTTTTAATGTACGTAATAAAAATTAAAATAAAAAATATGTTATTTACAATAATCAGAAAAAATATAATTAAAAATAAGCAAGCATCGTACCTGTTCTTCAATAATACGACCACTGGACTCAATGCGATTGACTTCCTGGGAAATATAATCCATTTGATGTATCTGTTCCCTATTCTTGGATTCCCAGTACGATATTTCTGCATCAAACTAATAAAAATAAATATGTTAAGATATATTAGCTATTTGATTTGTTAAACATGCGAATGTATCTGTAGACATTTTCGTAGATAAAGTAACATAAATATTTTAGAGTAAGATAATTTGTACTTCCAAGTTATATAAATATAGTTCCATAAGTTATATAAATATCTCACTTTTGAAATATCAGCTTGCTGAGCACTAATAGTGTCCCGTTGCTTATTGACTAGTCTTATAAGTTCAACGTATCGCTGAGTGTAAACAACAGTTGCCATATTTTGTGCCGTGGTAGGCAGTGGATTGACAGATTGTGTCGGAACTTTTGTGTCTTGAAATTCCTGCAAAAAATATATTACGAATATATATGTGATATGTATATATATATATATGATTTTGTGTGAGTTGTCGCATAACAAAATGTAAGCATAGTAAACGTTTTATAGTGAACAAAATAAACAACCTGAATGAGGTTCCTTTTCAGTTTAATGGAACTACTAGAAGATGGTTGGTCGTCTTTGTGAACATGAGATCCGCTACCAGGCACGAACTGTGATCTTCCAGGACTATTTAAATTCGGCGGTGGTGGATCTCGATAAGGTGGTAAAGTTCTTAATGGCGGTGAAGCTGGGCCTGGAGGCTCTCTGTAAGGCGGAACTTCGCGCACCTTTTTCTGTGACAAGTGTGTGGTGACTAGAAGAAAAAAATTAAATAATAATCATAATTAGCAACATAATTGATGTATAGCATAATAAAGATTATTAAAGAGAAATTAATATCAAAGACAATAAGAAATAATTATTATCAGTATATTCTAATACTAATGAAATATGCATAAAGAAAATTACAATGAAGAATGGATAACTCACTTTCGGTACTAGCTCCTCGTGTAGGTGATTGAGCAGGTTTTTGTATATTTTTCCGAATATTCAAGTCCTTATTTTTCAAATGTAATGTAGGTTGAACTACAGCAACATTTTCCATTTGAATCTAAAATAATATTTATATTCAGTAAAAATAAACGAAACGCAGCGTAAAATATCATCGACTAAAAACCTACCTCGCTATTGCCTTCTGTAATACCTCCATGAAATCCAGTGAATGTGAGTGATTTTCTGGTATCCCTATTCCTTTCCAATCCTCCTTGCATGTCATCAAAATCTGAACTTTGTGAGATCGATATATTTTTGGTGTCATCTTGGGTACCAGTAGAACTTGTTCCGTGTTCAGATAATGAAACTGGTAACCCATTTGCACGTGGTACATATGTTAAGCGAGATGGTAAAGCATTTGTTTTGTTATTTTCAGACTTCCTCAAAATCAGTTGTACTTCAGAGGAATATTCACCCCACTTCATCAAAATCTGATCAAAACAACAGTATGTTATCAACCATATTATATTACTTATATAAATATATCAATATTTTGAAGTTCATTCAGATTTAATTAATATTACAAAAGATATATTTCATAACATATGTATAAGATATGAGGTATATCTGACCTTAAGAGGCTTTTCATAAGGAGCTAACAAACGTTCATTGGTCCTCCAACGTTCTACCAAAATAAATCTACCTGTTTGGGCTGTAGCATTAGCGATTGCAAGTACTACATCCTGCAATGAGATTATCGTTGCAGCAACAGTTTTTGAAAAGCAAATTGGATGGTCTTAAAGAATAAAATAAAGTAATTACATGTAATAAGGATATATCGTTATAAAGTACATATAACAATATTTAGATACATTTAGAAAAGAAAAAAAAAACAACAACACACATTTAATTCACTCTTATATATTATATATAAGCTGATATAAACAAATAATAATACAACCATTATCTTGGTTAATTAGCACATATATCGATTGTTCCAACTCCTTGGTAAAATTACCTGACAGGTACCTCTTGGACAGATCAATCGACAAGACATCGATTTACCTAATAGATACCTGTGGGGTAAATCTGATGGAAAAGTTGGAACAGTCAGCCCTATGTACCTGACAGGTAGAGTCTTCTCTAACGCCGCACACGATACGTTGTATTCCTTCGACCCACACCTTTAACTCCATTACGTTGGAGAATTCCGAGCTCAATTCTTCCTATCGTAAAGTCAGCTTTCGTTGAAAGCCATGGTTTGTCCTTTATCTCTGTACGATGATGCTATAACCTCCGTACATATAATCCGATAAAATCTAACTTTGTACGATGCATGTATCACGCTTCATATATCCTTCAGATATCCAGTTGTCACCACAGAGAATACTGCTGCGACAAATCTAATATTCGCCACTCACTAACAGGTTTAAATTTCTCTCTCTCTAACCTGCAATATATAATTAGTAAAATGACAGCTACGGATCAGCGGCGATATCACAGACGCAGCCGACATTTTGTACACACGCTATCGAAAGTGTAATCAGTAACATATAAGTATGCTTTTTCTTTTTTTTTATATTTGTGTATAGTTATAATACAGTCAATGTAATCATTTCGGTGGCCCGTAAACGGAAAAATAATTTGTTAAGAACATATTTTATCGCACAAATACATCATCCACAAAGATTAAAGGGACTCCTGACCACAAAAAGATATCAATGAGCTATCACTTGTGCAAAATTAATAATATTGAAATGGTTCAAAAAGCATTGTACAACTTGAAGATTTTAGTTTTCAGATTTTTTGTCCGATATAATGTCTAATTATTTTTTATAATATTATAAGAGCATAAATCAACATCAGTCGCATGTCATATGGTTTAATAAAGTTTGTCACGTTGTACCACGTAAATAAAAAGCAACAGACAAATGACGATTATGTCATTAGAAAGTGTGAACCATTCGCTTTAATTTACATACTTGCAGATTGCTGCGCGATTTTTCTTCACCGAGTTACTCAATGTTAAATGACAAATTTTGGTTTCGATTACTCACAGAAAGTAAACGAATCTCATTGTCCAAATGTCATTTTGTGAATATATCTTTTTATTTGAACGTATAACGCAAGAATTCTTGACATACGTTTCCTTGCTTCTGACGTCATCAAACAAGGACAGGCGCAGCGAGAGATCAGGAGCCTTATCTTTAGATGCTCTACGGCACATTTCATTGGCTACGAAACTGGAGATGAACTTAAGACAATCTTAAATGTAAGATCCGACTATGAATATAGGCCTAAGGAATTAGCCTTCTGTATGTTGCTTAATTAGAACGCACACACCAACATAATTTTACAAAATTTTACAGAGAAAAGAAGTACACAATTATTCTTCCATTATAGAATGTTTTTCTTTTTATTTGCATAAGGAAAAAAAGGTTATGAAAATTATTTCTTAGCCTTCTTGTCTTTAGCAAGCTTAGTCATGTCATCAGGATTTTCCGCGGCATCCTTAACCCGCTTTGCACGAATGCCTACTAGTCGTGCATCTGCTCTTGCTTTACGAAGGGTCACATAGGCCGAGAATTTGGCCTCTTCCTCTGTAATAGGTCGTGCTTTTGCTTTAGCAGGTGCTTGATGCCGTATTGGCATCGGTTCTCCTTTGATTTGAGTAGCCAACTTCCTTTCTTCCTCAGTTGCGTCTCCCTTCTTCGGCTAAAAGAAGAAAGAGGAAAATGAACACAATATATAAAAATATCTTTCATAAGAAAATCCAATTATGCCACATGAATATTGTATAATAGTTACAGATACGTCAAATAAGAATCTTTTTCAGTAGTATTAAGCTAACCTTCTTTTCATTTATTGGGAAGAGTATCAGTTTGGCTTTATACTCTTTCAGTCGTTGTGCATTCGTCTGAAGAGATTCGATCGATTTGTTACGGCGACGTGGGTCAACGGCAATACCAATTGTCCGGGCAAATCTCTTGTTTAAACCGCTGGCTTTCAGCTCAGCCAACGTGAATCCTCTACCAGCACGAACTTTAGTGTGATAGCGGAATGTTGGACAATGTACTACTGGTCTCAAGAGATTTGCTGGCCTAGAATAACATTTAATAGCATTTAATTACAAATTATAATTTAATTATAAAAAAATGGGAAATTGTTATATGTACAGTTTTACATATAAAACATTTTTTATATAAAACAGTTTTATATATAACCATATAGGTCAAGCTACATAAAATAGAAATATCTATAAAAGAAGATTTTAACTGTAAACATATGAAAAATTCGTTCAAGCATATACGTACCTTGGAGCAAGAGCTCTTGCCTTTTTAACACGGTTTTGTTTGCGACGAATTTTTCTCGCTGGTTGATTAAACCAAGTTTTAACAAATCTTTGCCAATCCTTGTGGAAATGGCCATTTGGGATCATATTATTGCGCTTTCCCATGGTTGATATTTAATATCTACAAACAATATTGACAATTTTAAAATTAAGAAATATAGTAATGCTTCATACCAAGCATACTACATTAAGATTTTGCACGATGTATCACAACAAATTCAAAAATCTTTGTCAAAATATTGTTATATATTTATACATTACTATTTATTTTTTATATTATTTATTTACGCTTATAATAACTTTATTACATCAGTATCTTCAGCTTTAGTTAATATGATAATTTACAATATGTACGTGCATAATTAGTAATTGTTGAAAAATTGCTAACTATCCACAGTTTCATTGTATTTTCGCGATAACAATAAATTACAATAGAATACTTTGAGAAATATAACAACACTTAGATAACAAAGTTGGTCTTAATTTCTCTCTGACGATGCAAACCAAACATAAACTAAAAATAATTATTTTACAAATAAATAAATCTTAAAAATAATTATTACACAACATATACATATCGAATAAAAGCCATCGGAGACATAAAATTAAATATCTTTCTCATCGTTACACGTTCAATAAATATAAGATGGTGAAGACTCACGTTGATACAAATCTTCTACACAACACTCACCGATTCACCTATGCAGGCAAAACGGAAAAGAAAGAAACGTAGGAAATTCCGGAAATGGTGCTCTTGAGCTAAAACACTTTTCAGAGGTAGTTGGCGCTCGCAACGATTGTCGGGCCTATAATGTTTAATCGCATTAGTCGATTTGACGAATTAACCAATGTGATTGGACATTGTGGGTACGGTCTACGTTCGCGATCGTTGCGAGCGCCAACTGGAACTTACCTCTGGTAAACAGTTGCTGCGTTCAGAAAGCAGAAGCGATCAGTGAGCTACCAATGATTATTGGTCTTTACTATTAGATCCCTATATTTAGACCAATTACTCAATGTTGCACAACCGTTGTGTTTTCTGATATTGCCTACGGAAGGTGTAGTAAGCCTTAAGTCGTAAGAAATTAGCTAATCACAATCAACTACTCTTCTCACACTTGACTGTGATTGGTCAATTTTAACGGCTTAAGTTATGAATACCGGCCATAAAGTATCCTTCTTATGGATGAATACTCTATGGCCATTCTGACAATTAAAGCCGACCGCACGAAACGGTGATATATGCTACAAGATAAGTTATA